GTTGTTCGTTAATTACGGCCTCCTGCTGTTTTAATGGCGGTAGATTTTTATACAAAGGTATACATATACGAGTATGATAAGCTAGCTTTCACAATTTCTTGAATTACTTTTCCTTTGGACTTAGTTGATATATCAACTTAAATTTGACCGAGTGGGCTCAAAGACGCTGGTACCCAATAAATACTCGTTGATATATAGACCGTAGTGGCTCACCCTTTATTTTATATGCAAGTATTTTTTAAAAATTCAATGTAAGGGTTACAAAATGTGACTACATTGTATTTGAGGTTGTCATATAATTTAATTTCCACATTTTATGCGGTCCAAGCTCTGAATCATGCAGCTATAAATGTACATACATACATACATACAAGTATGATATATGCTTGTATGTGCGTGTTGTGTACCTTATTTAGCAAAATGTCATAAAATATAAACGCATCCTTTCGACACTAGCTAGAAGTTTTAATTGCTTTTCCGCATGCACCATCCACAGCGTCCCACATGTGAGAGCACCCGTATTATTCGATTACCGACGTTCCAGCTCCGTCAGTTCCAGAGGTGTTTCGTATGTGGGCCACCACAGCCTGAACTGTGCGCCAATTAAGCACAAACTCTGCCAACTGCAGAGCAAGTTTGGAGCTATTTGATGAATATGCATAACTGAGGCATAAAGGAGCAGCTGGAATGCTATAAAGTTGACAGTGCTTAGTTCTGTCAAGTTACCACGAGGCCGTCGGGCTGCCACACACAAACACACACACACACAGACTCAACTCGTACACATCGCATCTATGCATTTTGTGGTTGTCAGGTGGCTCTAGTGGCAAGGTAAGACACAGCAGCATGTCAACAATGCAGCATAACAAAAAAGGGTAAAATATTAACAACTTAATCAGGGTCGAGTCGCTTTAACTTTGCAACAGCCTGAGACCTTAGGCTGAGACTTCCATGTCAACGTGACAAGTTCATTACGAATTTCTTGTTGTTAATAACTTGTTTGCATTTCTTATCAATATACAAAGTGTCTAGCTGAGAAACAAATGTGCTGTTAATTTGCCTGACACTTCTGCTAATAGCAACTGATAAGTAACAAATACAAGTCAGTAGAACAAATGGTCCAAATGTTGCGAATGAAGCTTTCGAATTTATTTCAACTTTGTCCTTCAATGCGGAGTCAGGAAAATGGAAAATTCATGGTCTGCGCTCTCATTCATTTGTTCCCAAGCAATTTCCTATCCCTGAGGCTCTGATGGAGTGCCATTGGCTCGTTAGCATCACCATATAGAATTGAATCTAGTTTTGTTCTTGACATTTACTAAGATGAAGCTGAACACAATTCTATGCACACATCGTAATCATTTGCAGCAGATATATATACATATATATGTGTATGTATGCATGTATGTATGTATGTTTGTGCTGAAGGAATATGGTAGGAACGAGATTTCTCTGAGCAGTTGTGCTGCTTCCGCCCCCTTTAATCCTTTGCCATTGTGCGGCAGAAGTGCTTGTCCTGCAACCACATTGTTGACTCGCCATAAAAACGCAGAGCAAAAACAGATGGAATGCACGTGGAAACATCAAGCGATGCAATTTCGCAAATTGTCTTGAAATGCTAGAATGCATTTCATTCCTGCCCCACCTCTACTCTCCCTTGCCAACACTTGCCATGAAACCGAGAAGGCACGCACAAAGACTGCACCACATCGGAGGCAGCTGAATTATGAAGGGGTGGCCTTATTTCCCATTCCTTTATCTACCAACTGTGAAAACAAAATAGCAGCAGAGACTGGCAGAAATTGGGAAAAACAACAAAAAACGAGCAACAAAGTAAGGCAAGGGCTGACTGGTCAACAATTAAAAACAAAATCGAAAAACTCTGCTGAAACATAGAAGAAATCAGGCCTTAACTTTTATGTGCAAATGGGGCCAACCCACCCGAATCCGACCACTTCTCTGGCTTTTACTGCTGGCTTACATAAAACCAACTCAGAAGTGGAAACAGAATGTATCTTTAAGGTCATTTAATGGCGATGCTTTCACATACTACCCCATACATATTCGCACATACATAGGTAGATACATTAAGTAAACATATACACAAACAAAAGTAAATGCGCTTATGGACATAAAGCATCTTAAACAGCCACAATATTTTCTCTCTGGAAGTAGCCAACCGCCCGTTTACCAAATAAACACTTTTGTGCAATTAGGCTTCCACGCCGATGCCAGATATAGTATTACATACTTCATTAAATTTGTATTTGGCTTCTAGCCACATTGCTTCAGACAGCCGCACTGAGTACTAAAGCAAATTTATTTACTTTAGTGTATAATTGTATGTATTTAGATCAAATTTATTCATGACAGTAGAATAACTTGCATTTTTGAATTAATTCCATGAGTTTAAAGGTCGGTTGAAAATCAAAACAATTACATAAGTCTGGATTTGAAAAGCTCCTGAAAATATTTCATTCAGTTGCATTTCGTTGTTAGCGATTTTCTTTCTGGGTGCTTTTTATCGCTTTAAGCCATTAAATCGCAATTTCATTCACAACTTTCGTACGTGATGAGAATATTTTATTACTCTCAACTACAGAATACATAAATAATTAAAAGTTCGCAAACACTACTTATGGTCGTCATAACATCGTTTGGAGTTTTCCTATTGGGATGTAAGGTGAAAGAGCAATAAACAAGAACGGAGCGCAGGAGTTGAGTGGGTCCATTTCTTGAATATCCTGTACCCACACCCTCTGTTCTGCTTAGGTCTTAGGGGAGAATGTTTTCCAATTTTGATCATTCTATGTTGACACTATAAAAAGTATACTAATGCGAATGTTACAAAAAAAGTACCACGTGCAAGGAATATTACTAGATCCTCTGCCTTACTATTTTGCGGGGTTGAATGTTTTTCTTCACATATTTGATTTACAAAAATAATATGGAAAAATTGGGAAACGAGTTTTACTAAAAAGAGATTTGAAAAAAGTATTTTATTAAGCCATTTGTTTTTATTAAATGGAGATGGAAAGGGGGTTTCTTTAAATATTTGAGGCAAATACACCTATTTCTGTTTTTACACGGTCTTTTTTGAAACGATTTTGATATAACACGGTTTGAAAATTACAAATTTCATATATATGTTTCTTTAGAGATAAGGAACCAATTACATATTTTTGCATATGATCATATGATCATATGCATATGATCGATTTTTTACACGGTTGTTTCTGGAACCAATCTACCGTGCAAAAACAGAATTAGGTGTATAAACTAATATGCCAAAAGAAAGAGTTTAAATAGTCTTTACACTGGTTTCTTCTTAATTATAAATAAGCTATGGAGAGGCAAAATCATTTTCTGCATAAAAAAAATAGATTATCAGAATTTTAAATTTGTTGTTATCCTGCAACTTTTCGTTGCTCACTGTTCCAATTTGTTCTACCGTATTGGAGGCCTCTAATAACAACAATTTAATTTTGGCAACATTTTTTGACGTAATTAAATTTGTTTTAATGCTTTTGGATGAAACGATAAAGGAATATTGTCTTTCCTATTTTCAAAAACTTCACATATAAAAAGCTAGTACAAGGTAGATTCGGTTATTATACCCTATGCCCAAAGGGTAAAAGGGTATACGAGATTCTTTATATTTTGCGCACTTTTTTTTAAGGAAGAATAATTTGTTTTGCACTATTTGGAAAAAAGTATGTATATTTATAAATCATCCCTCACTTTCTCTCGGCGCCTCACACAATCAATGAGTGTGAAAATTTAAGAATTACACAGCTTTTTGGTAGCTGGGCTAAGTGCAAGCTGACAAATATGTTTTATATAGCACTCCTGGCATCTCATGGGCATAGGACATGGGTCAAAATGTCTAAGTCAAGCACGTGTACTTTAATGCCTTTTAAAAGCAATGTGTTTGCACATTTTTAAATAAACTTCCGTATGGGGACTTGTCCTTTTCACCCTCAGCCCCCGGTAGTTTCAGTGTGAGAACATAATTGAAGTATGAATAATTAATTCTTATCTATTACACGAAATGGTGAAACATTTTGGGACACTTTGGACCTTCACATGTCAAGACAAATGTTGTACTCTTATATGAAAGCAACCCCAACGGAGTCCTAAACTTGCCGAGGAAGACAATTTAAATATGCACATGGATATGTATTCATAGAAATGTTGCTTACAATTCTAGTGACAAAGCTGTTTTTATTAAAATGATTACAATTTCCAATTATTGTATGAATAGTACATTCGTACAAGTACAAGTATATCCAAATGTTTGTATGCACAAAATATTACTATGTAAGTTCAGGCCGATATGAAAGTCAGCCAGCGATAACGAACTACATACTACCTGAGCTTTTAAAAGCTTTACACTTCAAAAAAACTAAGACTATTGAAATAACCGAACTTTATACTCCCTTTTGTTAAAACTTAATCTGAATATTTATTTGAGATTAATGTTAATTAATTGCAATATGTCTGTTAAGCAGCTTTTCTAATTTATCATTCTTAACTTGAACAATTTTGAAAAAGCGTAGCTTCCAAATACTTTCTCAAATATAAATACTATAGAGTGAGGGTAAAACAACAATAATTGGAATTGTGCTCTTGATTCTTTGAACCTGAAATAAGTATAATTTCAGATCTGCATATTGTGAACACCTTTTAACTTTTTAAAATAACATTTTATATTTTATTATTATATTCAAATAATATTTAATTAATGTTACAACAAAAAAGTTAACATTTTGGTAGCCATTGCCATTGGGTTTTTTGTATTTAATTTTTTCTAATATCTCGTTCGGCTCAATATTACATAAATTATTAAATAAGTTGCTACTCACTATTGTAGGGAATAATAAAGTCAGATAAAGATATTCGTAACATAACAAAAACACAATGTCAAAGCTCCGCCGATTGGGTAAGAGCTTTTTCACGTGATAACTGGTAGTGCCGGCACCATTGAGTTGCGATCAACTCTTCATATTTATGTAGTTCCAAAAAAAATTCATGAACACAAAAATATTATGAATATTCGGAAAAATGTTCTGCCCAGGCGCTTGGTGGATTGGTTGTGTTTTCTCACAATCGGAATATTCCTGCCTATTATCTTTATATTCGAAATGGTAATTGTGTTGCCGGCGTTCCATGAACCAGGGGGCTTCTTCCACACCTTTACGCTGCTCATGGGCATTTTTTTGGTGTTTAACATCAAGGGAAACATGATCGCATGTATGATGGTGGATACCAGCGTGAACTGTAAGTGGGAAACTCACTTCTAGCGGCCATTATATGGAACTTTATTTGTAACCCAGATATGCACCTACAACCACCAACTGAGCCTATAGAGCTTGAGAAATGGATTCATTGTGCCACTTGCGATAAACTGGCACCTCCCAGATCGTGGCATTGTAAAAGTTGTGGCGTTTGCATCTTGAAACGGGATCATCATTGCCTATTTATGGGATGTTGCATAGGACATTACAATCATCGCTATTTTTTATGTTTTATTGTTTACCTATTTCTGGGAGCGCTGTACGCCCTAGTTTATAATTCGATATACATTTGGATTCTCAATGGTGCAGTATTCAGTAGATGGTTAACTGCATTGAAATTGATTTGCCCAATGCTTATGCTGGTATCCGGCCCGTTCTCGTCCAACATGTACTTACTTTTTTATAGTCTCAATGTATTGGCGCTTCTATACCCGACCCTTCTATTGGGTTACATGGGGCCCCTTGTCCTTGGAGGGAGGGTGTGTCATGAGCGCGGTAAAACATTTAAATACAATTATGGAATATGGCAGAACTTAAGGAACATATTTGGCCAACGCATCTTTGCAGTGTGGCTATCCCCTCTAATCACAAGTGAGCTGACACATGACGGCATCAATTGGCAGACTGATCTTCCTAAAGACGCACCAAAGAACAAATAAGCCATAGGTGCTATATGCAATAATAAATGTACAAATGACTTACTTTATTTTTGTGTTCAACTTAAGAAATATACATCCGTGTACATGTTTGTTTGTTCTTCATTATAACAAGCAACTAGTTATTCAAATATTTTGTGATATCAAATACAAAAACGTGTTTATACTTTATACTTGCATAGTAAATTATTATTAAATTCAAATACTTTAAAGTGTACAACAATTTTATCTTCTATTCAATTAGTGCATTACGAATAGTTGATTTGCATTCATGATTACGGGCGACCCGATGATAGCTGGTTATGTTACCCAAGGTGGAAATAAAGTTCTCGTCATGAGTAATTATGATCAGCATGAAATTTGAGTGGGACTGGCGTTCCTCAACAATGCGGTTGAGTGCATCGCACAGCGATATTATATTGGCTTGATCCAAGTTGGTAGTAGGCTCATCCAAAGCTAAAACACCGCAGTTGCTACTAAAAGTCTCTGCCAAGGCCATGCGGATGATAAGAGAAGCAAGCACCCGCTGACCTGCACTGCAACGACCACGCATTTCGATCTCCGAATTATTTTTCGATTGGACCACGCGATAATTGTAACTCTTGCGGCGATTTGCAGATTTATTGGATTGGTCCTGAGTCCGAATTTGAATATAATCGATGTCGTTGCCACGGTAAATCAAACGCCAGTACTCACGTATCAGGCGGTTAATATTATCCATTTTCTCGGAATGAAATTGAATAAGCGCCCACTCCAATGCATCACGATGCTGAGCAAGATCGTCAATGCTGTGTCGGGCTACCATCAACTCAAAATGTGCCTTTCGATAGTTCTTAAGCGACTGCTTGTACTTGGGTTCTTCAATTTCAAGCTTAAGCTTCTCGATCTGGCTGTTGATTTCGCCCAGCTGACCTAGCAATGCGCCACGACGTATAGACGCTGCGTCTTTCTTTTTTATAAGGCCCTGTTTCTCTCTCGAAATGTTGCCGAAGTCAAGATTTCCCAATTGCTTAGCAAGCGCTTCACAGCTTTCCATTAAATCGATCTCTTTTTTTTGCAGTTGTTTAAGTTCACGATTATCTTTGAGGTCTCGGTCGATGGTTTGTTGATTGAGACATTCCGTTTTAATTGTTTCCAATTTTTCACTGCTTGAAGCGATATCAGTATCCTGAAAGTATTGAATTTATTTCATAAATTTATATAAAAATAAAGCATGAAAGGTAAACCTTACATACCAATTGATTCACTTTATCTTTTATGCTTTTAATCGAGGCGTCGTATTCCTGAATTTTAATTTTTAGGTCTAACTTGTTAAAGTTCCGGACTTCAGTATTTAATCTGCGGAAGAGATTATGAATTTATTAAATTGTTTTCAAGCAAACTAGTAAATAAATTAAAAAACCTTTGTATATTTTCATCTGCACTCCTGTATGAATTATATTTACTATTCAGCTCCGCCAACTTGGATCGTTCGCTTTCTTTCAGACGGGCTTTTTCTGTAATGGCTGCATTCAGTTTTTGCTTTAACGGATTAATTTTTGACTTCAATGCTGAAATTTCTGTGCCAATTGTAATCATTAGACGAGTAAGTTCATCAAGCCTTTCCTTTAGTTGGGGTAGACTTTGCACGCCTTCCTGTAGTTTTATCTGATGGTCTTTTAATCTACAAAATGAACAAATTAAGTCTCCACTAGAGCAGGGTTCTTTTTCAGCGTCTACTTATTCTTCTTCTCACGAAGACAGTTCAGTGCCTCAGTTTGCTTTTCATAGGTTTGTTGATTTGCCTCTAATGCCTTACGTTCAGTTTCGAGGTCTTCTGAGACCTGTACTTTTTCTGACTGCACCGCATCGATGGAAACGCTAGAGTCATAATCACTGGGCAATTTAAGCTGCATTACAAAAAAAATTATAATCATTTAAAAAGTAGTCTACCAGCTAACAGAATACCTTAAGCACATCCAAATCCTTTTTGAGGCGTGCTGCCTCCTTTAAGGCCTCATCTAATATAGTCATGTCTCCTAGCATGGAATTGGCCAACTCCAAATTGTGTGTGGGCTCTCCAAGCATAGCCATTTGTGTCTCATATTGATTGACTGCATCTCCAAGTAGTTCCTCGATTTTTCGCAATTCCTCTTTCTTTTTAGGAACTGATTCCTTAAGATCTTTAACCTTTAGAATAAGAGGTTTCATTTGAAGGAGATTTTCGTACTTTAGTTGCTCGGCTTTTAAAGACTTTTCGGCCACACTTATATTGACGGGAAGCTTATGAATTTCATCAGCTAGCTCAGAGGTTAGGTCTGTTGCCTGCAAACAGAGAATATTAAATAAATATATGTTCATAAATAATAATTTGCAGTCCACGCACTTCATCGCCGGACATATTGTGATGACATAAGGGACAGCAAGGCTCCTCCTCGATTTTCTGGATGTACCTATAAAACAATAAAGTAAAATAAAATTCAATAATTGATTGAAAAAATATATACTTGTATTACATACTTTTTATACATCGCTTCTGCTGATTTAAGAGCACCGTGTTCTAACTGAAGCTTTGAAATAACAGCTTTGTTACGTTCTAGCAATTCATCATAGGGTGTAGAATGACATTTTTGAAATATAAGCTCCTCGGATTCAGCCAATTCTTTTTCCATTCGTGCAATTTCGGTTTTGAGATTTTTCCGGCCAATATTATGCGACTGTTCTTTAAGCTTCTCAGCATTTGCCTTATCTGTAAGGTCCTTTATATCCCGTCGCAATTTATCATAAGCGCCCTGCATGGCCCTTCGATAGTTTGACGTAATGTTTTCTTTGAAAAATTTTCCAAAATGATCACTGTGCTTGTTTCGGACCCGCTGCACCTCCTGGTCCTTTTTTTCTAGCTCCTTTTCCTTAAGGGTAATTTCAGCCATCAATTTTGCAATGGAGTTCAGGAATGTCAGTTGCTCATCAAGTTTCTTGAAGCGTGCCTGCTTTTCGGAAATTTTTGCCTTTTTAGTGGCTATCACTTCACGGATACTTTCTAGATTAAAGCTTCTGGTTGCCCTCTCGTACTTTTCATCAATATCTGCAATCTCTTTTTCCAACAGTTTTAATTGATGCATTGATGTTTCAATTTGTTTTATTTTCAACTCAAGCGCCGCAATCTCTTTTTCGCTAGCCTCTCTTTGCTTTTCTTGAGTTGAAACACCCTCTACAGATTTTGTCAACTCAGTGCGCAGCTCGTCGATCTTTGTCTGACGTTCATGGTCCGCTTGATCATTGTTCGCAGTCAACTCTGCAATCTCACACTGTTTGCTCATTAACGTTACTTCAATGTCGTGCATTAAATCGGCAACTTCTTCAGGCATATCCAGCGAAGACTTTACAGGAATTTGCAACTGTTCACACAAGGCTTTTAAGCCCTTCACTAGTTGCGATTTGCATTCCTGCTCAGATTGCTGCTGCTGTTGCGCTATGCATCGTTTTTTGTCCTGTGCCACAAGAGTTGTTTGAAGCTCGGTTCTATTGTTCTTTATCTTAAAAAGATGTTCTTCCACATCTGTGCGTTGAAGTCGCAACTCAGACATTCTTTGGTCGAAAGACCGAATTTCGATATCCAGTTCCGCCAACGACCCTTCAAAGGGCTTTTTAATTTTCTTTGCAATGCTTGATATTTGTTCGATGCAATTCTTATGTCTGTAATAGAAAATGAAGCATGTAAATAAGGTGTCAGAAAATCACAATTTCGCTACAGACTTTGTGTCCATCTCTACTTTTTGCGCCTGATATTTGCTGATGTCATATTCAATATCCCTGATTTCTCCAAGCCGTGCGTCGATTGGTTTAACTTCCTCGTCGCACTGTGCGCATTGCGCCTTTATTGAATCACATTTTTGCTGAGCTCTTTCAAGATTCATTGTTTTCACCTCCATCTCCTGCTTTAAATGAAACAGCAATTTCATATTAGCATCTGAAACGATGAGATTAATTAGCTGATAGAGATACAAGCACAGTGCGCGTATACAGACCCATAACTTTGATTTCCTCTTGGGCTTCTTTGCGCATTTTGATGATCTTATCAAGCGCCTTATCGTACTCGGAAATTCCAAAAATATCATCAAATTTTTCTTTCAATTTTTTTGGCTCGTCCAGTGGCCAGCTGGCATCCTCTTGATGACAAAACAGCACATCATTGATAATGGCTTTTGAAACGCCCATGAAGTCACAAATGCCATTTCCAATGTCTGCAATGCGTCCGCCTAGAAAATCATGATTTTTCAACTCGTTTGCTTTGTCATTCATATAATTAATTGTTGGGCTAAGCGTCTCAAATGACACCTTATCGCGCTTCATGGAAACCTTCATCAGACGGCAAACGGAGATGCGAGCGCCGACTTTATTTCGAATCTGAACTTTAATTTGCGCCAAGGACTCGGATAGTCCATATATTTTGGGGTCATGTACAAAATGCTTTCCGCTATTGCTGCCAGGTGGACAATCGCCTGTGAGTACATATTTCAAGCACTCTATAATTGTAGTTTTTCCACAACCATTCTCTCCAAGGATCAATGATACCGGCGACGAAAATGTAATGCTCTGGAATATTATGCATTAGCAGCGTAGCAAAGAAGCATCAGCAAATTAAGGACTTACCTGGCAATCCTCGGCATTGCAACCAAAACTACGCACGCCTTGTATAGACAATTTCTCAATAGTAGACATGTCCTCCGCTATAAAAATCCAACTAAAGGAATTTCACAATAGAGATTGGCGGCAAATTGCGACTACCAACTAATGATTGGTAGCCCTGGTATTGGTATCGTTTAAATCGCGAATGACTTTCAAGAGCCGTTTTTAAAATAACAATAACATTCACAAAAAACTATCAGAAAGGCTTATCCATTCTTTAATCACACAGAAAGTTTCAAATGTGTTAAATAAAAACTATTAAATATAAAGTAGTTAGCGGTTGCGTGACCATCTCACGATATATTATCGTTATCGTTGGTGACTCATCACTATCTACCGTACAGCTGTTCTTGTTAGGTGCAGCTATTATTTAATATCGCATAACACGCGATTTATTTGACCGGTCCAATTGTCTGAATGAAAATGTTTCGCAAACATGTTGGAAGCATATCGCGCATCTCGACACAGTTACAGCGAGGACCACCAACCGTTGGCAGCATTGCAGGATTATCAACTGAGGCAGAGGCGGCACCGAAACAGGAACGCGTGGATGAAAAAATTACCGAATTCCGCACGGCCATAACAAATCCCGGTGGGCATTCTCCCCTTCAAATAGCCAAATTCTATACAATTCCTGCAGAAGAGAAGAAACGAATTTTCGGTGGAGGCGGCCTGCCAAAGCAATACGAGCTGCAGATAAAGACCTTCACGGAAGCCTGCCTTATGGTCCGTTCGCCTGCACTCGAGCTGCTGCAATACATTAAACAGGCAGACTTAAGTAAGCCAGTTGTTCGCTACGTGCTTTATGGCGAAAACGGCGTTGGCAAGTCATTGACCATGGCCCATGTGTTGCACTATGGCGCATTGCATGACTTTTTGCTCGTGCATGTGCCTTGGGCGCCGAATTGGATGAAGCGCCCGAAGGAGACGGCCAATGCAACGGGCCAGGAGGGCTTTATTGATTTGCCTTTTGATGCTGCTGCTTGGCTCGTGCATTTCAAAACGCAAAACGCACAATTACTGCAGAAATTGCAGCTGAAGACGAGTAAGGACTACGTTTGGAGTAAACGCGAAAGCACGCCAACAGGCTCCTTGCTGACAGAACTGGTTGAACACGGTATTGCGAGAATCAAATACGCCTCAGAAACGATAGCTGCTGTGATTAGTGAGCTTAAACAACTCTCTACAGCCGGCCAGTGTAAGGTCATGGTAGCTATCGACGGGTTCAATGCTTTTTTCCATCCCGAAACTCGTATATTTTCGGACAACAAGCAGCGGGTTACCCCAGACAGAATAACGCTAACACAACCATTTCTCAACATAACAAACTACGACTGGACTAATGGTGTTTGCATTCTATCTGTCGACAAAATCGCCATGACCGAAGGCTACATGGAGTCGTATATGCCGCGTTACCTTCTGGGAAAAGATGGCTTCGAGCACCTGGATCCCTTCGTGCCAGTGCATGTGGACAACTACACGGACAAGGAGTTTACGAACTATATTAGTTACTATGTGGATCGCTTTTGGATTACGAAGACCGCCCCGGATCTTGAGGATCAGTTAAAGTTTATGAGCAATAAAAATCCATATACATTGATGCAACTTGTGAGAGGCCTTTGAATAATTCTCAAAAAGGCGATAGTGGTTAATAATAAAAGTGTTTGTTAAATAATATTTACTTGTATGTATGTATTTTCTTATGACTCCTTGATTTATTTTCTCTATTAAGTTCTTGGTTGAAGTATTCAAAAAACCTACTTACAAAAGCAATCACAATCTGCTTGATGTACAACCTACCTTAAACTAAATAAATTGACTTTCACTGATGCAATGAGTTCATGAAAAGCAATTAATCACAATTAAAATGGATAAATGAGGCGTTCTGTGTACTATACAAATAAATTCTAATAGGTTAATAGCATCTTTAGGCACTTTTCAGCTTGCCGTTGCGTTTCAGCAACTGACTCGACAAGTTTGTGTAAGGCAGCTCGTAGCACAGAGAGAAAACAATGGATGCCAGGTAGACGATCACAGCAAAGCCGAAGGTGATGACAAACTAAAATGCAACACAATATAATAAACTTTCTTTAATTCCAGGTGTTGACTTACCAAAATAAATGGATCCGCATGCGTGCTTCCGTTCGTCAAGCCGTAAAAGAACGCAATCACTAGAGGGTTGAGCAAGTATATGGCATAGGATTGGCGGTTCAAATGCTGAAATCCTTTCGATTCTAATAATCGGGACCACCACACACCCCGCCCCCTGGCGCTTCCAACAATCATCCAACAAATGCAGACTGAAAAGATGAAACGTCCCAGCACGAACAAAGAGATCGAAATGATATAGCCAAAGTCTCGTTTAAAAGTCGAATACAGGCAGATGAAGAACACCAGAATGGACAAATTCCACAGCCAACGTTCTTGTGCTTCACTCAAATTATACTGCAATTTGTGTTCTACCAGACACCAAGCAGCTATAGCGCCCACAATGTAAGGCAGGACGCGGACGAAGGGACTGATGTAAATGTAAGAGCCAGTCTCATAGACTACATCGAAGGAGAACTCATACTTCGTTTTGATACCAATTACCAAAGACCAGGCAATCGTAGCCAAAAGTACCACAGCCACAACGGTCTTCGCGACCTTAGGACGTCTATAAAGAAAATAGTCATGAGTATCATTTGTCATTTTTTGACATATTATGTACTTACTTGGTATACACGAACAGGAGGATGGTGGCCAGCACAAAGAATTGCATATCACAGGCCAAAGACCAGCTCCAGTTGACACAAAGTTCCGTGATTGGGAAGAGGTTCTGTATGAAGAGGAGATTTCGCCACCAGTGCTGGGCGCACGTCTCGTCGAATCGCTCGTGTACGTTATAAATTGAAACGTCTCTAATATAGACAAACAGCAGATCCACTACGCCGATCACAATCAGATAGAGTGGACCCAGTCGTAGGTAGCGATGGAACAGAAGCTTTCCAAAGAGCTTCAGATTCTGGACCACATCATTATTCCGTATGGCTTCCGTTTGCTTTGCATTGCGGATGAAGTTGTACGTTTGTAGGAAGCCGCTGTGAAGAATGGGAAAAAATTAGTACATTATCTTAAAATTTAGACCTTTCGAAACCTAACCTGATGGTAAAAAAGACATCCACCAACAGTGGGGCCGAGCTAACGTATTGATATCCCAACTTTTCCGCATAGGAAATGAGAACCGTCTTATTGTGAACCGTGAAGTACATGAACCACATTACATGGAATATCATTATCCAGTAGGCACAAACGGAGCGGAGACCGTTTATCACCGGAATTTCATCGGCACGGTTGTCGCGAATGGTAAATATTTTCTCCCAGTTATCCAGAACGTCAAAACAGCGCACAAAATCCTTAAAGCGAGTAAATTTTTTAGGATCCGCCAGCACTGCATCGAAGGCACGCCAGAATTCCCATTCGGCGGGTGCCAAGCCACTGGTGCTATCGTCGGCTAACTTCTTCGCTGGCATAGCTTCGCGTTCCCGTTCACGCAACTGCTGGGCACAGAAAATGAACGCGCAGGTGGCTATGATGGAGGCGATCACAATCTTGAAGCTTGTGCGCTGATAGAACGAATTGCGTAGCTTTAGGTCCTTCATGTACACCACCTCAGGACGTATTTCGTAGATCTCATTGTCAGCCGACATGCCGTGCTCCACATAGTCACTAGTCAAGTGCTTTATTTCTTCGGAGTCGCAAGATGTGGGCAGACAAAGGCCAATATGAATGATTTGCTCCGACATTAGCTTGATTTCCACCTGCCAGGGTGAGCTATGGCTCAGATATATGACACGATAGTCCATATCAAAGGGCGCTTTGTCGGTAATGATTCCATAGTTCATAACACGTTTCATGTTCTTCGACAGTGTAATGCCTACCGGACGCTGTATACCCCGACATGCCTCCGGACTACCCAACCAGAAGTTGTTGCCAAAAATAAAACCCGCCGGCTTACTGCCAGACGCATCGAGCACTGCCAAAACCTTATATTAGTACGTCTTTCAGTCTCGATATACCACGACATCTCACCTTTCATAGCCCATGGTTGCTTGTCGAGAATACTCCGCTGTATGTGCTTCAGTTGGACATGACAGAGATCGTTCACATTACTCTGATTGGCCACTTTGGTCAGTCCAAAGAGGACAGAGCTGCGTATCAAATAAGCCTCATTTGTAGAGGATTTGCTCCATTGTTTTGTAGTTTCCATTACATCCGGCTCCAACTCCGTATTCTTCGTCACCTGAACTTCTGTGTGCATGGTATTGGTACCATTAAGCAGGTTGTGCACATATTGCTGACTATGTACGCTCGGCGAGTAGTAGCTGTCGTTAATAACTCCATGGGTAGGGACTGGATGCAGCTCCAAAGATATCAGCAGCACTACCCACACCAATTTTCTGTTCAATTTCATGGCCATATTAGTTGTCTTGCCCATTTACCACGCGAATATTGACAGCTGAAAGAGAAAAGCTCTTGAATACAAGTATCTATAGGTATGTACATATGTATGTATTTGTAAGTTCCAACGTGTTCCCTAAATAATAATCGGTATAAAGGACTACATCTTTCACTGTCGTGAGACTCCCCATAAATAATAATGGGACAAACCAATAAAGCTAGTCGGTTTCACAGAACCTCCCTAAATTTTCAAACGTCTAGAAGCTAATAAATATGCCCATATTTTTTATGTTAAGTTTTTTATATATGTATGTATTTTATGTTTTTCTTGTAATATTTTGATTAAATATATTAATTTTGTTTGTTACAATTTTTAACTATTTTATTTTTTTTTTTAGTTTCTGCCTTTACATTCCTAATATTTTCTTGTCAGGCCTAGAGACGTTTCTGAATATATTTTTTTCGAATTTGATTTATTGTATTATTTTAAAAATTTTTTTTAGTATAATTGATTTTTCTTTTATTTTTAAGTGTTCCTCTTATATTTTTAATTTCATTATGTCTAGTCTTAAAAGGTCTCTGACTACTTTTTGGGGCTCTTCGGAAGACACAGGTGTCGGATTAATATTGTCGATATTGTAATGTTATTTATTATTTTTTTAAGTACTCCATCTCCAAGTGTCAGTTATTGAGTTATTGAACTCAAGTGCTCAGCGACAAGCGCCAGAAGCGTTAAGGGAAACTTTAGGATTTGTGCGCAAATACTATTAATGTAAAGACCCAAGTAACCGGAACTGATTCTGTGCTTTTTGAAAACTATGCACTAGAGGTAGTCATTTTTTGAACCCCTTCTAATTAGCTCGAGTGTGTTAAGTACCTTGCACCTTTCTGAGTTGCACTTGATAACTGACTGAATGACTGAATTCTCAGATGTTCGGATAACTCTGAAAGACAATGAAATTGGTTGGTGTCGTAACCCAAAGTAAATTATCTTACCCAACCCAGTACCTACGCAGTTAAAGGGCTGGAGCTAGGCAAGCAACTAGACCAACTGTCGCCGGAACCACTCACATGTCTGCGGGTCAGTCAGTTTAATGGCCACCGTTGCACAATAGGCATTAATTCAAGTCAAACACTCGTACCTATTTGGTACGACTGGACGGGACCGAACTGTCTTTGCTGAAGTAAATACGCGGTGATTAAATCAAAGTCAGAAAAATCAATTACCTGTTTTCAGGCGTAAGTGCGTCTCAATGTCAGCCTCGAATTGGTCGGCATTGGGACCTTTGTATAGGCGGGTCTATCACCAAAGATCAATTCCATTAACATTAGGGGCAGAATTTAGACGGGACTCAAATGACAACAACAGGGCAATTGTTTTTATCCGTAGCCAAAGACAAGCGTGAAGGTTTATGGAGATGACAACTATGTATGTACTAGACTCTAACGAATTGTGAATCATCAAAAGTTGAATACTTGTATATTCATTGCACACGCACATAAGCTACAAGTATTTATAGGAAGGCAAAGGCACGCCGGCAAATGTTTACGATATAGTACATTTGAACCTAAGTACATACAATATTTGCAAATGCTCTTAACTAAAAAGGTACTGTAAATCGATGTGTGATTAGTTTCTGCTGCCGGATCGGGTACTTGCACCTATTTTTTTTGGGAATTCTTTATTATTCAAATATGCCAATTCAATGTTCTTGCGAGCATAAATTAAGTTTCGCTCAATTGCCTTTGACAAATATTTAATAGATGCTTAGGCCGCCTATTTACTTTGGTGTCTATAAACACAAAACTTATGCCTCGACGATGCCAGTCGGGTATATACTAAGGTCAATAGAGCCGCTTGATCTGCCCACACAAATAATATTCCCCAAACCTGATTGTAGTACCATCTTTTTCGTAGCTGTACCAATTTTTGAACAACCCGTCTTGTGCTCTGTCTGACTCAAGGCCATTTGATTAACGCATTTCTAGGGCAAAATGTGTTTTGGCCATTAATGCATGCAAATTAACCAACGCCTCACTGCAGAAACAAATGGTCTAAACGCCAAATTCCAGTTGGTGGCCAGATATCCGAGTCCGAATCAATAATGCCCATCTTCAGCCACTCCATAAACAAAAGACATACGTGTAATAGCATATCGCGTGCCAATTTTTTTTTACTTTACTAACCTCTTTGTTGTTATTTTATGTTGTTCAAATTATTTGTTTGATCGGCTTGTGCGTGGCTTTGGACCAACAACAGCCAAATTTGCCGCTTGCAGTCATGAAGGCCGTTCACCATGGATTTCGGCAAATTTTGGAATATTGTAAGTCATAATAAAAGCTTTTAAAGGTGAGGGTCAATATCATGTTTCTTTGTCGATTTTGCATTGACTGAAAGTTGAAAAAATTCGCTTCTACTACATGAATGCCAAACAAACCCTAAAAGCCGGGTATGATGGATCTAATTAATCATTGATATTTGGTCCAATTTTAATAATATTTTTTGTTACAAGGTTATCATTTGCGAGAAAGAGGAATGAATGGAACTACGAGTATTATAAATACATAAAAATAGTAGCAGACGCTTAGTCCTAGTTTAGGGAGTAACAAGTAATAATCGTATTTTATTAATTTATTCAGTTTAATAACTTTTATTCTTTAAGACTCCATTGTATCAAGAGTTTAATACAGCTCTGCACCATTGAATGACAATTTGCTTCTAAGCTAAGCTGTTGATTAAAGAAATTAGCTATAAGTTGTGAACAGAATCTTGACACTAGGTTTTAAAACTTTCTTTACCATTCAAAAATTCTTTCGTTGCTTTACAGTACTTGAATGGTCGATATCTGGTTGAGTTTTAATTGATAACTTACTCGTGGACAACAGCTTACATTATATAGTATTCAAGTTGAAATTAGATACCCTTCGATGTCGCATTAATTCAAAACGCCCTCTCTTCGAAAACACATAACTTATGAACACGAATTTGTTGGCAATATTTGCAATTTTATCTTTGAACATTTCATTATCGAGGTTGCGCACAAAAGCTGCAAGCATTGCCATTTATTTTGATTTCTTTTTGGATTACCTCTACCTCTCATAGTAGTAGGCAGCTCTCAACAGCCATTGCCCCCGGCGGTTGCTGACAACACAAAAAATGGTCGTTATGGTTGTTGCTGGCCCTTTGTTTTGGTTTGGATGGTAAATCTAAAATGCTTACTATAGACGCGCCAAACGAAAGCTTTGGGCTTAAAGTCAGCTCCGTCTCACATGCTTAACCAATTTTAAATATATATTTTTCGCACTATAAAAAATATACAAACACAACAAAGTGTTTGAGTTGCATAATAATAGGAAATATGAGGAACTGCAAGGAACTAGGCAGTAGGGCATGAAAAAACTCGTATGTATGCGAATGGAGGAGTATATTTAGGGGGGCTTTGAAGTGAGTTGTGAATGGAATGAGTTTTAAATTTGCATAGCTATCACTTTTGCTGCCAAATGCTAATTTCACCTAGCTTTTTCGAGGTTTGCATAAATTTTGTGCGCTGTGCTCATTTGTAGTTTCGAATCTTAAAGCGAAATAATCTTTACGATGTTGTAACAATCGTCTAAATAAAAGCCATTTTCAAAAATTGATATTATATAAGCTATTTATTTATGCCTCATTTGACTTTTTTTAGGGTTCGCGTAAAATTTTATGGCCAAAGCGCAGAGATCAGCACTAAAAGGGCCATAAAGAAATTGATTTGATAAAGTCAAACTATCTGTTTAATTAACAATTTAACTGAGAAATGAAGCTGATTTACCACAGCACTTTAAATTTTACTACCGTTTGGTGGAAAAACAAATTAGAGATCTTGTACGCCAATTCCTTGGTACTTAAGTAAATAACACGCCAATTAGCAAGTTTTGTTTGCACATCTTGTGCCTGTTGGCACTACTTATTGGTATCCATAATTTCACTTACTTTTCTTATAAATTCCTATGGCACGTTTGTAGAGGGCGACTGCCCGCTCAAAATAATTTCCACTATTGCATCCACCAATATATATAAACTATTGAATAGTCAATTTTTTTTTTAAACTTTTGTGCCAGTTTTTTTAAGACTGGGTCTTTTTATTTGATAAGAGCGCACAAGCAATGCAAAAATATGATTTAAGCTGGCATAGCCCTTACTTAAAGACTGTTCCGCTTTTACAAAATTTCGTTAAATTTTGATATTGACACGTTCGCGTGCGTCCACGTTTATCAGACAACTGTGCGGCGTTGGGTATCGACACAACCTTTTATAAACTTAGATGGATATTGGTCAGTGAGACGCTGAGATAATGAGTTGGACATCAGACGCACTACAAGGTGTGAGAGAAATACCAACCTCTGATCGTTTAAAGATCAACTGTACGAATCACCGCAGGAAAAGTTTTATTTTCTGTAGAGCGTGGACAGGTTTTCACTTTTATTGCAACGGCATTTAAGTTGCAAAGATACTTGCTATTGTAATTATGGGCACTTGGTTGAACTTAATAACTAACTGCGAGTTCTCAAAACAGTTACTTCTGAATGCCATAAGGAGTTGCGTAAATAAGCCCAAAATAAAACACATCGTGATTAAAATCTTGTTTTTTCATTGAGGAGGCCGTTCATCGCCCTGCGCTGATAAGAAGGGAGTGCCCTTAATGTGTATTAATTACCGAAAACAATAAAAACGCTGTCATTTTAGTTGAGCAATTCGATTAAATTTATTAATCCAAAAACTTCATTCCATTAAAACAAGATTCAGTTTTATTTTTAATCACTAAATAATAAATTAATAAATTACATAGGCAAACTGAACTATATCTTGTCGATTTTATAAATGTTAAATTTAAAGCTACTTTTCATAAGTTTTAAAATAGATTAAGAAAATCAATCGTAAGTTTAGGTGTAAACATCCACTTAAATAAATATTTAGCATTTTAGCAACACTAAAAACAAATTTCGCGCCAAGCTTTCTAAAAAGGTGGCAGCACCACTACCCATTACTGCGCAATCTTAGGGTTACACTGGTAATTTTTCATTGTGGGGCAACACTTGCTTGAAACGTCTACCTGCGCGATTAGCAATAAAATTTCTAGACACAAAAAATGAATACGCAAAATAGAATAGCAAAATTCGAGTAAAAATATCGCGGAATATAAAAATTATTAGGTGCATAAATAAAAAATAGTAAAAGTACAACGTTAAAATAAAAATCTGCGCAACATAATTCCTTTCAAGAAAAAGAGCCATAAAAATCGATTCTCCAAGAAGTTAGTCAGTCGTCGTCAGTCATACGCTGCGTGAAAGTAAAGCCTTGTCGGCGCGGGCGTCCGTGTAGCGCCAGTCCAACATTGCTGCTACTTTTGAAGCAATTTAAAGGTGCTTAAAACAAATACAAATAAACGTGGGGTGGCAAGCTACACTTACTGAAAAGTGGAGCGCGCGAAGTGTGCAATTTTCGCCCCGCTATTCAGATTCACCTTCGTAGCTACTAAAAATGCCAGCGCAGTGTTTTTCACAATCAAAATCAAACGCGACAAAGCGCACAAAGCAGTGAACGGGGATGTGTGTGTGTATGTATGTACGCCAGAGTGCATGTGTGAATTAATATTATGTATACATAATATTTGCCAGTTTGTTTGCTTCTTGTTAAAATCGTGAATTACGTACCACAACAACCCCGCATTTGTACACAAGTGAATGTAATTAACTAATTTTAAGCTAATATTTGAACCTGTCCAAATCAACGCGTATGGTGTGCCTGTCATTGTAAATAAAGTATTCCCCCCACTCTCAATCTCTCAAAACAGCGAAACAATAACAAAAGAACGGTTGCTCGCGAACGAAATGAAAATATTCCCAAAGCCAGCCCGCATGACGTCTTATTAGACGTGCGTGCCTGTGTCGTCTGCGGGGCGCTAATTAAAAGCAAAAGCCCCACTCAATTCGGCCACTGAGTCACCCAAACTATTGCGTTTACATTTCACCTGTCCTGAGGCTTGCGTGCCCATTGCTAGCGCACAACTCCAATTCCACGCGCGACCCCAGGCGCAGTAAAAATACACACATAAAAAACACTAACAACAACAAAAGCAAATACTCCGAACTAGCTGCTGTCCCATCAATCCTGTCGGTCTATATTTTTCTGCGAGCGACGCGACAGGGACGCGACGTGACTTGCCTGTCCTGGCCTAGCCTGTCCGAGTGAATGAATCAGACGCTTGCTAACTCGCTCTCTCGCTCGCCCACCCACGCTAGAGGAATTCATTGAAAACCGCGCGCAAACAAAACACACATACAAACAAAACACATAAACATACTCGTATACATAAATAGAACATCGCTTTGACGCTCTTCTACGCACGGCCTTCGCGATGTCAAGTGATAAGATCAAAGTTGCTGTGAGGGTGCGACCCTTTAATCGACGTGGTGAGTACCAGTTCTAATCAATGTTCTTTTTTCACATCAACGCACATAATACATATATATATATTGTATGTTTATATGTTGTACTTATGTATATATTCGTTAGTCTAGCTTTGTCGGAGTTACTTGTCCGTCCAGCCGTTTTGCATGTTCAACATTCAGTCTATTTACATACATACATATGTACATCGCTATTTTTTATTACTCCCACTACACTTTTCACATCAGTGTGTATAGTATTGTCGGTACAATGTTATGTGAATATATGCTATATTTGCCCTCATGTTATCACGGAATTGTTGTTGAATTTTTACTGTGGGTTTCGCAACAACAACAGCTTTTATCAATTAACTGTTCCTGCACAAGTTTCTAAGTGTCGATATCGCTGACGCACGCAACGATGTACATACACATTTACGTAAAATATGTTTTAAATAGGCTTTGAAAAGGATGGGGAAAATTTTTGGTTTGTGTTTTGCTTTTTATGCACGCTTAGTTTTCAAAACTTTTAAAGCTGTTGAAAGAAGCGCAGCCGCATCAATATGACGGCAGCACAAAACAAAAAGCCTGAATGCAGGCCATAGATTGTATTCAGCTTTTTATTGGGCTCGTGCTTGTGGTTGGATAAGGCCGTTAGCGTTGACGTTGCCTTCGCCTAAATGAGAGAAATGAATAATGCAGGCAGTCGGCTAAAAGAATTTTTTTGTATATAACGTACATACATACATAAGTGAGCAAGAGCCTGGCTTCCCATGCAAGCGCCTTCCTTGCGTTTCATTTTTCATAACTAGTACTGGAAAGGTCGCGCTATTTACAATTTCATTGCATGTTACCTTCTTTTTTTTACTGCCAGCCTTGTAAAATGACTGACTGGTTGCAACAAACAATTTCCAGCTAAATTTATTTCTATTGCTTTGTGCCGTGTTTCTTAAATTTGATTCGCGTGAAGTCGCAAGTTCGGTTGAGTAATGTTTTCTATTTTTTGTGTGTTGCAAGTACAAAACTGAAATGCAAAATTAACGCAGGCTGATCCATTCTGCCACATGCTTACTCATTCATTCCATTTCTTCAATCAGACAATTCCGATCTGGCTGCCACTCATCCGCAGTCATGACTCATGCGCCAATTGTGGCAAAGCAGCATTAACCCCTCAACGTCAAGTGGATACTTCTTGCCTATATATATGAATTTTTGTAGCTGTGTTTTTGCCTTTTATAGCGTTTCGATTGGTGCAGCGTATGTTCATCATGTGGATCGTTTTTCTTTTTTTTTTTTGCTAACATTTTTGTCTTTCCAATTTTGGCAAACTTGACTGCTTACGTTTTGGCATTCCGCTGAAATTGTTGTCCACCAAATTACATTTGTCTGCGATAAGTCTGCATTATCAATGGGCTGATAAGGGTTTGAACTGTGTATTACGAATACAATTACTCAATGTTTGTCTGAAGTTAGTCAATGAGTTGTGGGTGTGCAATTTCCTATATCGATCTGATGCATCATAAGTAGGTAGAACAATGACAAATTCACTTCTCATCTCTGACCATGTCTCGACCGCTTGTCTGCATATCGTGTGAAAGCTTGAAGCGACCTTTTTCGTGTGCCGTTTGCTCAAGTAGAGCAGCAAAGCGTAAAATCAAAACTACATTTGCGCCATATAAAAACAAACAAACAAACAAGCAAACATACAGACTGACCAACCGACCGACTGACAAACAGACAACCGACTCGAAATGAAGTCAGCTGCTGCTGTTGCCGAAAAGCTTAACCTGTTTTCCTCGTTTGTATTATTGTGTGTGTGTATGTTAATTTCTATGGTCTGACCGTTTTTAGATTCAACGAAAACTGTATTTTTGTTGCTATTGTTATTGTTGTAGTGACGTTATGCGACTGCGAAGCGAAACCACATCGCACACTTTTAAGGTTATGGGCAATTTTTGGCCACAAGCTCGCGTATGCCTGAGGTTATTAACAAAGAAGAAACCTCAAAATGGTGCGCACTGCTTGTTGGCTTGACAAATGACCCCAGACTCGCTCAGAGCCTTAAGCTACATAACTCAATGGCCAACTGACCAGCACGACACAGACACACATTCGTACGGCTGTAATACGTACAAACAAACTATATTTACCTGCGAATGAGTTAGTGGCCGTTAGGTCATCAAATAATTCATAGCGCTCCATCGTTACATTCAACAGCATGACCGATATGCGAAAGGAAGACTTTGGTTGTAGTTGAGGTTGAGTTGAGTCCTTTGTGGTTTGTTTCGGTGTCTGTGTCTTAGCCCTGTCATGTTACATTTCGTGGCAAGCTCAGCCGCTTTGCAATATGAGGCGCAACGGAAGTGAGGCACAGCCCATGTATCCGTGCTTGGGCCTGCTCCGGCTTTCTTTTGCAGGCTGTTCTGCTTATTTTGTTTGTCCTCTGACATTTTGCAGGCGTAAATATGGTATGGCATACACGAAGGACATACAAGTGCATAAGAAAGGGTCAAATATTTCACTCCGAGTTTTACTTCATGTATGTACTCCGCATTGGAGTTATTTACTACTATACATATGTTTTTCTATGTACATATACATACATACATATTCATAATATATGTACTTATATATATGTTCCATTGAACTCGGCTGGCTGTTACGCCCTGTGTCCTTTATACATATTTCACCTTTTTGCGTGGCTGAATTGCTTCCAAAATGAATTATTTGCTTTGTTGCTTAGGTGGAATTGAAATATTGCTTTGAAAGCTCTTTCTATAGCTGGCACATTTCCCAATTTTGCAGTGCTTGTGGAGTTCTTCGAAAAACAATTTTTATTTTATTTAGAGTTTAGCTCAGGGTTAAATTTGGTAAAACTCCATTTTGTATCATCGGCCAATTTTATAGTCAACTTTTTGGAATATATCTATACTTAGCACTTACTATTTGCGAGCTATTTTCTCAAGCTCTTTCTGCCACTTTTCAATATTAGGAACGGTTTCTAAAATGTAATATAAACAGTTGCTGGATTTTCTTCACAAATTGTGAAATTACAGCTTTAAGTCCGAAAGGTAGACGATAGTTGATGAATATTTAAATGGTGATAAATATAAAAAAAGATCTCCTTTATGTTGTCTTTTCTGCGGATTCCTTGATATGGATCCAGGAACCTATAACAGGATAATAATTTATTTACATTATGGTAACATACTATGGGTAGCCGTAGCCGTAGTCCACAACTCAGTAGACTACATCTATTCGTGGTTAATTTTTTTTGCGTTCAGTATTTCCCGGCCCATTCTAGTCGATTGGTAAATTTAACATTTGATGACAGATTTCAGCCGCTTACAAATCTTTAAATGCCTTGAGACAGCTAATTGGAAATTCGCTTAAGGCCCGTCTTATATCTAGAATAAGGGGAAATTAGGTCCAACTTAATCAAGGAAAAAGAGGAGAACCTCTGTATTTTTATGTTTAGAAACGTAAATGTGTCTAATTTGGTTCATTTTGTAAAAAGGCTAATTAACACTAAAGTGGAAAAACGCTACATTTTTTGATTGGTCAGTTCTTTTTCGACTGGTAGTGTGTGTACTTGTGGCTTTTGGTATAAACGAAAAAATCCGCTTCTGCTTGTTTGGCTGATGTACATACATATATTAATACATTTATCAACACAAGCACGTAAATATGTATGTATGTATTTATGTTTATAATAATGTATATGTGGAATATGTGCTGCATTTGTTATCGCGTTCGCAGTTTAATAAGCCATATCATCGCATTGGTTTACTGACATTACACACAAACATACATACATACACACAATGTGCTTTATTTTTATTTGTTGAAAACAAGAAATACCAATGTACATACCAACACAGATATACATATAGATACAAATGTATGTATGTGTAGTAGGTAGCTTTTGTTAACGCATTCGTTACATTGAAAATTGGCCAAGCGTAGCTGTAGCACAAATTTGAAAGGTTACACGAGTACTATTATTCAACTAGGCCTAGACAATTGATTGTTAGGGTTTTGCAATTTTTTATTAACATTACTTTCGCTTTTGCAGAAATCGAATTGGGTACAAAATGCATAGTGGAAATGGAAAAACAGCAGACGATACTGCAAAATCCACCGACATTGGACAAAATCGAAAGGTAACGTCCAATAATGGTTTTGCCAGCTATAGAAATTCATTATCGCGCTCTTCCTTTTGTAGAAAACAACCAAAGACATTTGCATTCGATCACTGCTTCTACTCGTTAAGTCCAGAAGACGACAACTTTGCGTCTCAAGAGACGGTTTTCGATTGCGTGGGACGTGATATTCTAGACAATGCATTCCAAGGCTACAATGCGTGCATATTTGCCTATGGCCAGACAGGTAAGTAACAACAACAGACAGCCCCAAATCAACTAGACTTAACTGCATGGCAATAATTTTGCAGGTTCTGGCAAATCCTACACGATGATGGGCTCACAAGAGAGCAAAGGCATAATACCACGCCTCTGTGATAAGCTATTCTCAGCGATTGCAAACAAGTCCACACCCGATCTCATGTACAAGGTGGAGGTGTCATATATGGAAATCTACAATGAGAAAGTGCACGATCTGCTCGATCCAAAGCCCAACAAGCAATCGCTAAAGGTGCGCGAACACAACGTCATGGGTCCCTATGTGGATGGTCTGTCCCAACTGGCCGTTGCATCATACAAGGACATTGACAACCTGATGACCGAAGGCAACAAATCGCGCACAGTCGCTGCCACTAACATGAATGCCGAGTCGTCACGATCGCATGCCGTTTTCTCCGTAGTACTCACCCAAATACTCACAGATCAAGCTACTGGAGTGAGTGGTGAGAAGGTATCGCGCATGTCGTTGGTCGACTTGGCTGGTTCCGAGCGCGCTGTAAAAACCGGTGCCGTTGGCGATCGCCTTAAAGAGGGCTCCAATATCAACAAGTGAGTGCATAAGAATGCTGCTCATTCTTAATGAATATTGCAGAATTTACCGATGAATTTTTCTAACTATTACTTAATATTCCATTTACTCTTTCAGATCTTTGACCACGCTAGGTTTGGTTATATCCAAATTGGCCGATCAAACGAACGGCAAGAAAGGTGGTAACGACAAGTTTGTGCCATATCGAGACTCCGTATTGACTTGGCTATTGAAAGACAATCTTGGAGGAAATTCGAAGACAGTGATGGTGGCCACCATCTCGCCGTCGGCCGATAACTACGAAGAAACTTTGTCTACACTGCGATACGCGGATCGAGCCAAGCGCATTGTTAATCATGCCGTTATCAATGAAGATCCGAATGCTCGAATTATACGTGAACTGCGTCATGAGGTGGAAACTCTGCGCAATATGTTGAAACATGCTACTGGATCGCCAGTTGGTGATGTGCAGGACAAACTGGCAGAAAGTGAGAATCTGATGAAGCAAATTTCACAGACATGGGAGGAGAAATTGGTGAAGACCGAACGCATACAAAACGAACGACAACAGGCACTCGAGAAAATGGGCATCAGTGTGCAAGCGAGCGGCATTAAAGTGGAGAAGAACAAATACTATTTAGTCAATTTAAATGCAGATCCGTCCCTCAACGAACTGTTAGTTTACTATCTAAAGGAACGCACCTTGATTGGCGGCCGCAGCATTTCAGGACAGCAGCCAGACATTCAACTTTCCGGCCTGGGCATACAGCCGGAACATTGCATTATCACCATCGAGGATAGTGGACTCTATATGGAGCCAGTGCAGGGTGCTAGATGTTTTGTCAACGGCTCGGCAGCGGTAGAAAAGACGCCGCTACAGAATGGCGATCGCATACTGTGGGGTAACCATCACTTTTTCCGCGTCAACTCACCAAAGAGCAACAATACGAATATGTGCGCTTCAGAGCCACAAACGCCAGCACAGCTCATCGACTACAATTTTGCGCGCGATGAAATTATGCAGAACGAACTCAGTAACGATCCCATACAGACAGCCATAGCTCGGCTGGAGCGTCAGCACGAGGAGGACAAACAGGTCGCGCTGGAGAAGCAACGTCAAGAGTACGAACGACAGTTCCAGCAACTGCGCAACATCCTTTCGCCCAGTACTCCCTACGCGCCATATGCTCCCTACGATCCACTACGCATGGGCAAGGTAACGCCCAATACGCCCACCTCGCAGATGCGTGTAGAAAAATGGGCTCAGGTCAGTAAACTTAACCGACGATCAGTTGCTGAGTTCCATTACATTACTTAGTTTTATTAACCATTAACCTTTTTTTCTGCAGGAACGTGACGAAATGTTCAAACGCTCCTTGGGTCAATTGAAGACAGATATAATGCGGGCCAATTCGCTGGTACAAGAGGCAAATTTTCTGGCTGAAGAAATGGAGAAGAAGACAAAGTTTTCTGTGACGCTCCAAATACCGCCGGCCAACTTGAGTCCCAATCGACGACGTGGTGCCTTTGTCAGCGAGCCGGCCATACTTGTGAAGCGCCTGAACTCGGGCAGTCAGATATGGACGATGGAGAAGTTGGAGAATAAGCTTATCGATATGCGAGAGATGTATCAGGAGCATAAGGAGCGTGTGATCAATGGCCTGGTATGTTTTTTCCTCATTGTTATATCGGCACTTAATTACTTATGTCTCATTGTCTGTTTTAATCGGAATCGTACTAACCATAATCTTTACGTATATAATTCATACACGCATTCAATTAACCCATGCTACAGCCCCTTGTAGAGCAATTCTCAGACGACGAAGACGACGATAAGGTAATTAACAAACCCCATAGAACATGCAAGCACACTCTTGGTTATTCCTAATCAAAATCAACGTTACAATGGAATTTATGACTAATTAACCTTTTAACTATTTTGCAGGACGATGAGAATGCCAAGCCACAAGATCCCTTCTATGAGTCGCAGGAGAATCACAATCTCATTGGTGTGGCCAACATTTTCCTGGAGGTTCTATTCCACGATGTCAAATTAGATTACCATACGCCCATCATCAGTCAGCAGGGCGAAGTAGCGGGCCGTCTGCAGGTTGAAGTTCAGCGCATTGCTGGCCAAATGCCTCAAGATCGTATGTGCGAATCCGTATCGGAGTCTTCGGCCGATTCGCGCGATGAATATGACGATCCAGTCGATCCCATGGCTAATCAAATCACCTGTCGCGTCACCATCAAGTGTGCCTCTGGTCTGCCACTGTCGCTGTCAAACTTCGTCTTCTGTCAGTACACCTTCTGGGGTCATCAGGAAATTGTGGTGCCCGTCAGGAATGCCGAGGCCATGGCCCATGACCAGAACATGGTGTTCAAGTTCGAGCACACTCAGGACTTTACCGTCGCCATCAACGAAGAGTTTCTGGAGCATTGCATTGAAGGTGCACTGTCCATTGAGGTGTGGGGACATCGTAGTGCTGGCTTCTCCAAATCCAAAGGCTGGGAAGTGGAGCAACAGCAGGCCAAAGCGCGTTCGCTGGTCGATCGCTGGGCCGAATTGTCGCGCAAAATCGAACTTTGGGTGGAGATACACGAACTCAACGACAATGGCGAGTACTCGCCCGTCGAGGTAACCAACCGCAATGAGGTCCTCACTGGAGGCATCTATCAATTGCGTCAGGGCCAGCAGAGACGCGTCAATGTGCGTGTAAAACCGGTACAAAATTCCGGTACATTGCCAATCATCTGCCAGTCCATAGTCAACGTGTCTATAGGCAGTGTTATTATGCGCTCACGCCTGCAGCGACCGCTCGACTCCTATCAAGAGGAGGACCTGACCGTACTGCGTGAAAAGTGGAGCGAGGCTTTGGGGCGACGGCGTCAATATCTTGACCAGCAAATACAAAAGCTTATCAAGAAGGAGGAAAAAAGTGAACAGGAACGTGAACGCGAGCTCAGTCTTGTGCATCAGTGGGTCTCATTGACAGAGGAACGCAATGCAGTGCTGGTTCCTGCGCCAGGCTCGGGCATACCTGGTGCTCCGGCATCCTGGGAGCCACCAGCAGGCATGGAACCGCATGTTCCTGTGCTCTTTCTCAACCTAAATGGCGATGATCTGTCGGCCCAAAATACGAACGATGAACTGTCGATTGCGGGCATTAATTCCATTCTGTCTAAAGAACACGGCCATAAATTCCACACACTCCAAATTCTGCAGCATGTAGACAAGGATGTGTGCTGTGTGGCCAGCTGGGACTCGTCCATGCACGACAGCCAGTGTCTGAATCGAGTGACCGAAGCCAATGAGCGCATCTATCTGATATTGCGCACCACAGTGCGTCTCTCCCATCCGGCGCCCATGGATTTGGTGTTGCGCAAACGGCTGAGCATTAACATCAAAAAGGGCCAAACGTTAACTGATCGTCTGAAGAAATTCCGCCTGGTGCGCGGTGAGAATGCCATTTGGCAGAGCGGCGTGACATACGAACTGGTGTCCAACATTCCAAAAGCTTCCGAGGAACTCGAAGATCGCGAATCGCTGGCACAGTTGGCGGCCAGCGGCGATGATTGCTCGGCCAGTGATGGCGAAACCTACATAGGTAAGAAACCATTACAACTATATATATAAAGATAGATGCATTAAATGTTCAATTTCGTTATAGAAAAATACACACGTGGTGTGTCGGCGGTGGAGAGTATATTGACTCTGGATCGTTTGCGTCAGAATGTGGCCGTTAAGGAGCTGGAGACGGCCCATGGACAGCCGCTGTCAATGCGCAAAACAGTCAGTGTGCCGAACTTTTCGCAGGTAATGCCGTTTGGCTGGATTCATCGCATAACTACCAACGTCTTTATGCAGCTGCTGTTGTATATTATAGTCATCCAGCTTTCACCTCACATTCTATTTGTCACTCTAGCAGCAATTTATTTACGATTAACAATTAACTTTTACTAAACCGCAATTCTTTCTCTTTTCACATATTCTATGCGCTTTCACCAACTAACTTAACCAAAATTATTGTTGTCAAAATTGTACACAACTCAATTCAAATTCACAAAACCATCACCGCTAACCAATTCATTAACAACAACAAATTCTCAAATATAATTCAAAATTCGAAATTTGGCGTGCACCATCAACTGCAAACTAATTATTCAACCACATCTGTATTGGTATCTGTCTCTCTGTGTCTGTGCTGTGTATTTGTTTAAATTGCTTTTCGATACGCACATAGGCGGTCAAAGAAACCACCAATACCGGGAGTGTAAGTAAATTCTTTTTAAAAGACCGCGGCTCTGCTGAGCACTGTAAATTTTTTGTACATTTTTGTAAAATTTGCTTTGTAGCCGAGTATTTTAAATCTTACTTATTTGTTCTTCTTTTGATGCGCTTTCAAGTTCGATGTCGCTTAGTTAAATATATATTTCACATTATTTATTTTATCATTTCTCTTTCATTTCATTATGATTTTTTTTTCATTTTTCCACCACAATATTTTTTTTATAATTCTTTCTAACTCATATTGCGCATATGAAATTTATGGTGTAAGAAACTCATAAATAAACTTATGCAGATCATGCGATTCGATGCTTCGATGGAGTCACTCCTCAATGTCGGACGTTCCGAGTCGTTTGCGGATCTCAATAACACAGCCTTGGGCAACAAATTTCAGCCAGGTGAGAATTTTTAATGGTAAATACACTTCCATGGCTTCTTTAACTTTTGTTGTATTCATAGCTCATAGTGGCGGCGCTATTCGTAATCGGCACAGTTTTGGCGGCAAGGGAAGCAGCGACGAATCACCGGGGAAACCATTTGGCATTGGTGGGTATTATCTTAAAATTGGGGCATTTAGTTTCACTGTCCACTGTTTACTTTTGAACACACACTTTCTTTTGAGCAATTACCCAAATCATTAAATAATAATTAAAACACGTTTTTTGTTAAACGATACTATACTAAATTTTTTATGCTTGAATGCAGCAACTCTATTAAAGGCAAAAATCAATAGAGCAAGGGATTTATCTTTAGACAAAGTTCAAATATTATAGTGCATCGATCAAATCAATATATCACAAATACCGTTAGCATAGATTTTCGTAAAATATATTAAACATTTTGTAGTATTTATTAAGTAGTAGGAGAATAATTTCTGTAATATTGTGCAAAGGGAAACCAAAAGATAAATCCTTTTTAAATTCTAAAATCTTTTTATACACATTTTTTATATTACGTAGTTTCTATTAAGTCTGCTTAAGCTTGTTATATCAAAGCATTAGCAATAACAATGAAAAAATAATTCAAATTCTTGGTTGATTGGTTTGGAAATGCCGATTTAACTACCAACTATAACCACAATTTGTTCGATGAACTTCTTTCTGCTTTGCTTTAATCAAACACGACACCCACTCGAAAACGAATTCGGATTTGAAATCTTGAATCGAGTTAGTGCACATCAATGTCACTCGTATCATGATCTCATAAGAACATATAAAAGGACACTCCAGTCTCGCCACATACCACCACATAAAAAAGGAAACATGAGACCCCCTCCCCAAACCACTTAAACATAAACACACCTTTTGGTTTGTTTTCTTATTTATCTGGTTTTAACTTAAATAACTTCAATGTTGTTCCACATGTTTGTTAACATGTTGTACGTTTTCTCTGTGTATTTAAATTTGAAAAAAATAAAACGATATTTAAAACGCCAACAGGCTCTATATTGTCAGGTAAAAGCAAACGATTGCCAATTCCATTGGCATTTCTTTGTTGGTTTATTGAAATTGATTGTTGAATTATTACCAATTATTATAAAATTAGTTGAGTTTAAGTTCCCACACATTCACACCCACAATCATATTGCCCGATATACTTTATAATTGTTATTGTATCTAAGCCCACACTCGCCTCGATGAGAGGAAGATGGGCTTTTGAGTGACGGTGTTGTCCTTAGTAATATATTTTAAAAGTATTATCTGTAGTTGTGATTTAACTGTACATTGTGTTAGATCTGTTACTGGTAATTTGATTGATACCTCTCGATGCATACATCCATTCATCATCAGTATCATCATCAGTATCATCACATTAGACTATCAGATTCGATCGGTTCAACTCATGCGTCTCTCCCAGACACTCTCATTAAACAGTCATTAAAATGAGCTCTGTATAGTGTATTTTATCTCTTTTATGCTAATGTCAATAAATAATGTTGTTTTTTGAATTGTCATCCAATCCGAGGCACCTCCCCCAACACCCACAGCTCATTACTCACAGCCACGCACAGCACGACAAGCGCATTCTAGCTAGTCTTAGTCTATGGTTGTTCTGTGTGTTAACCGATATGCGAGTTAGTCGCATTTGGTTTAGTTTTTCTTTTCATTTTTTTTTTTCTTTCAATTTTTGGATTGTATTACCCACCCGATTTGAGATGCTAATGCTCATCTGAATATTGTAAAACGCATTGTAACTAAACATATCATAATCACGTCTTCTTTGTGGAATGCAGCGCGCCCAACATTTTTGAATCTCAATTTGAACTTGAACACATTGAGAATTCCGCCAACGAAACGTATGTGGTTTGTCTATTTTAATCTCTAGGCCATAAGACTTCGCAGAAAATAGTGTGACGTTCTAGATCTCGCTAATTGCTTACATGTCTATTTATCTAGCTTCGCCGGCCACAAGCAAATTGCTGGGCATGCGTATGACAACCTTGCATGAGGAGCCGCTTGGTGGACACCGATCACTTGATGAGGAGCCCGAGGATAGTTACAGCGATTCGGAGTACGCTGCCGAATACGAACAGGAGCGCAATCAACGCAATAACTTTGCCACACGATCCCGTTTAACTGCCTCCAAAACCATGGACTCGTTCATGGACGTCAGCAGCAATTCGGGCCACAGCTATTTAAGCTACACGTCTAGTGCCAATGCCAACATGAAGCATTTGACAGGACTGGCCACGCCCAGCATGAGTTCTTCAACTAGCAGCGGCTATGGCTCGCAGGTAAATGCCACTGTTATTCAATCCACTTGTTTTCCAACTGACCTCTAAAATAATTATAGGCCGTGTCGTGCAATAATCTGAGCAATGAGGATATAACTTCGCTACGTTCCATGAGCATTGATGAGACACCAGGCGAGTAGAAAATAGACTTGTATGTGCACACAAATTTATTAACAAATTATTGTTTTGTGTACAGATTTTGATCGCATTAACTCCAATTCGCCACCCAATCGCCAGACCCGTGTCAATCCCTTCCTTAAGGACATGCCAAAAGCCAGCTGCAAAGCGCACGAGACTCCTGAAGCACAGCCACAGCAGCAAGCCAATCTTGGAGCAGAGACGAAGAGGCTGCAAAGGGCACACACGCATCCACTGGCAGAAGAAACTGCACAAAGCGATGAGGAGGAACAGTACGCAATGGCGAAAGACAACAACGAGCAACAACAAAATAATACCATTAACAACAATAATAACAGCAATAGCAGCAACGATAAGACGGCGCAAGAATCATTTAATGACAATCAGAATGGTAATAAATTGGCAGATACCGCCAACGAAGCAACAGAAAAAGCGACAGAGCAGCTTGAAGGTGACGGCATTGTCCGAGAGGAACTACCAGTCGGTGTCGTTGTGCATCGAAAAAAGACGCCGCCTCAACATGTGAACAACAACAACAGCAGCACACGAATAAATCAACAACGCGCCTCTCTGGCCAAAATGGAGGGTCTGGCATCCTCAACATCATACATAGACACGAAAATGACAAACAGCATGGAACTGGAAGGTATGATTGTGTGCATTAAAGAAAATAAATTCAAACCAAGACTCACTCACAATTTATATTGCAGACGACGGCACAGTGACGGAGCTGACGCTGCCCGACTGGATTGTTGTGGGCGAATCGGTGTTAATACGGCCCTACAATACCAGTGGCGTTATAAGCTTTATAGGCACAACACACTTTCAGCCCGGCGCTTGGATTGGCGTGGAGTTGGACACACCGACTGGAAAGAATGATGGCACCGTCCAGGGCATTCAGTATTTCCAATGCAAACCCAAGCATGGTATATTTGTGAGAGCTGACAAGCTGTTACTTGACAAGCGAGGCAAGGCAATGCGGGCCTACAAAGCTGCTGAAAAGACGATCAGTAAAGGTGTGCATCCGCTATGGCACCCTGTAATGGAAATATATTATTAATTTTTTTCGAATTGCATTTGCAGAGAGTAACGCCTCGATGCCACGATCTAAAAGCCGCACTGAAGCGCTGAATGTGTCGGCGCGCAAATGATTGTATCCGAAGTGTTCGCATCAGTTGCAGCGTTGGGCTAATTGCAGGCAATCGACGCTGGCCACCGCAACGTGCAGCTCTGCCAACAATGTGGCGATCACTCCACGAGCTGGAGCTAGAGCGCTAACACCGCAGACCTGTCATAGATTGCGTGCAACCAGCAGCGCTGCCGATGCGAATACCAATACTAGTACCACACCACATAGTTGCAGTAGCAGCCAGAATGCGCCCACGATGCGTAGACATAGCAAGAAGCAGTGCTATGCCGCCAATCGACGCTCGACCGCATTCTAGATGAATTCAATAATCAAGCATCAAGCAACGAACAACGAGCATAAATAACTGCAATAATAACTACATACATGATAGCTAACTAACTAACTAACTACATAATAGCTTACTTAATCTTAATCTATGCCGCCACTCAATTGCCAGATAGTTGGCACTCGCGCCCAATACACTGCATGCTTCTAGCTTAAGGCGGTGTCTACAGCAATTCTAGATGCCCACTTAAAAACTAAGCTAAATGTTTGCGTAAGGTGTACTAAATACTAATGCTTATTAGTATGTGCAATATAACGAACACTACCTGCACACTCCTATATCTTACACTTTATATCTCCTATGAATGTTTATTGTTTGCCAATGAGTTTAAATTCTTGTTCTCTTTCGTACTGTCAAATTAATTATGATGTTTAATTTACGTAACGTTTATTTCTGTATGTACGAATCTTCCTTTCGTCAATGTGACTTGGTTAAATATGAGCTTATTTTAATTGTTATCGACTATATAAGAAACTTTTGTATATACATATATTATATATTTACTATATTTGCAATATTTTTTCTACTTTAGTTATAAATAGAATTCTTTTTTGAGCGTTTACTTTCAATTTAGAGCATTTATGTATGAACACAAACAGAAATTAGTTAGTTATACACAGCTACGATGTTTTAATTGGACATAATTTTTTTATTTACGCATTTAATGTCACATTCCGTGCTTATGAAATTCCCGTGGGAGAGTATGGGGGAATGGAATTCATTAATGAGCGGAATCACATGAATGTAGAATGTAAACATATGTGTAAATTGTATTATTTGATGTGATGTATTTATAATTTATCCGTGTATTTAAATAAAATTGATTGATTTTGCTACATATACACACACACACACGTGCATATTTTCATTTATTTACATACCATTTTATCATTTTAGTAAGCATTTACACTTACATACATTATGTGCAATATATATACATATATAGATATTAGAAATGATTAGTATGTACTCAAAAATGTGTGTGTTTTTGCCGCCCGGCTTTATAGTTCTGTTGTATAAATCAATGTTTAAGGTTGTGCGAATTAACTGAAAAAAAAACAAAAAGAGAAGAAAACTTAAGAGTGGTCGTGTGAGTCCCAGAATTACATACGTGGAAAACGAAGCAATAAACGCGTTGAATATATAGTTTTATGTTTAAGCCGAAATACAACATACATACATAAATATATATGAATGAATGTACATACATACATGGCATATATAGTAAAATGTATGTGAGTGTTAAAAAAATGTGAAAAATATTGTAGATCCGCAGAAAGCCAGGCCAGCAAACAACATCTAAGAGTAATATTGTATTGTAAACCATTTCATGGTGATGGCGGCTTTCAACGCATTGGAACCATTCGAAAACTCGAGAATACAGCAAAATGAAGCTGAAGGTAATGATTTGTACGTAAACATCCATCCATCCAACCAACCAACATCAGAGACACTCAAAATGGAGTCTGAGATAAATTGCAATTTGAAAACAATAAAAGCAAGCGATTTACACTTAAGAAACCAAACACAAAAGATTCAAAAACAAAACAGGCAGCACCATAACTGAAACCATATAACAAACAAACTTTGATGAACACTAACCAGTATATATACATACATATATATATTTTCGAATATATTTTCGAACTGTGTTTTCTACTTACATATACACTCAAAAATATGTTCAGCATTATGAAAAGTGAGTACGCCCATTAAAACAACTACCAGAAATACTTGAAAAAACGTCCAAATTCAAAGCAAGAAAAGAACTACAATATATACAACTACATTATATATATATACATACATATACTTATATATTTACCAAACCTTAAGTGGAAGGAAAGCGAAAAAAGGGGAGAAAAAACCAACTAATTTAGCATTACTGTGTCATTTATTGTGTATGTAGGTGAGAGAAAATTGTAGACACTGCTTGGAGAAATATTGGCGTGCGAATTTAAGTTTCACAAGTCGATTCAGTTCATTTATTAATTAATTGTCGCCCTGCATTTGAATTAACTAAACAAAGCAAAAACAACAAAAAAAAAAACATGGAAATATAATGCATTTAATACAATACTTAATAACAACAAGGATGAATTCAAATACTAGAGCTTGAAAACAAATAAAATCACACAAATCTAAAGCACACACAACCCATGTAGTAGGCTTTAAACCTTTGCAAGCTAAATGAACAAATAATCATTATAATTAAATGTGAAGAGCGCTTGATTAACGCCAGAGTGCATGCACCATTGAATATTGTTCGTAGAACTAGGATATAGATGATGATCTGATCTGAACAAGCATGAAAATATTAGGTTTGTAGACGGCAGTGCACTGAAATAGAAGGGTACCTCGATATTGACATTTACACATACATACTTACATAGTACATATATTTGTAAAATAAATGCCACTCTAATTATTGCATATTCAAAGCGGTAAATGTTGTAGATTAAATAGTTGACTCTTCCGATAGTTTTGAACAGATTTCAAATGATTCAACAAATAGCCAAACTGTAAATTTTTTATTTCAAAATCAACAACATAATCGACAATTACGAGAAGCTTAAGCAAAATTAATTAACGCACGACATTTAAGCAAAAAGAGTTAGCCTTTACACTAAAAACAGGCCATACACATAAAATTATTTAAAAAACTATGGAAATACAAAAAATATGTAAGGGAGCTATTGCTCCGACTAATATGCATATATTATATACATATAGTATATAAAAAAGAAGAAATTATTTACTAGTCCCAAATGAATGAATATAAATATGTATGCAGTTATGAATTGTATATATTTACACACACACAGATACACACACACATGCATACACAACACCCAGATGCTACAAATACATACATATATACATACATACTAACATGTGTGCTAAGCATTTGAGAAATTATTAATGAGAAATTAGTAGGCTTTAAATCGAATTACTTATTCGTATATATTTGTGCACTTTAAAGCTTTCAGCACATTTAACGAACAAATTATTGTTCTGTCAATAATTATCCCTATACCCTACCCCTATCCATCCATTGCGCTAATGCAACGAAAAGATATGCAAACATATTTATAAAGTAAAACTAAAATGGTAGCTGAAAACATAGCGGAAATCTGCTTTTATTGTAAACACAGATACACACACCAACCAACACACACACACACACACTTACACATACATACATATGTATAGTTTCGCTCTGTTGTAAAGGTCATGAATATCTGTTTCTTCAATTGTATTTTTAGTCATAGCATAAATACACATTTGCAAGCAGCTTAACCGTTTAGACCCAAAACTCTTGACATTTGAAACTAAAACTTGAACTCCAACTTAGTATTTTAAAGCAGCTGCTGCTTTTAGAGTCAAACAAACACACGCTTAGCAGAGTACCATCAAATGGGTGTAGCTTGTGCTCTGCTTAAGTTACGTTTATTTGATGTCTCTTTAGGCACGATATTTAAATATATATTATGTATTCAACAACAACAACAACAAAGAAATAAGTAAAAGAATAATTATAAAAATACCAAAACAAAATGCTGTTTTTTTCTTCTTCATCATACGATAAGTCAAAAATTCCACTTTATGGAGAAATTTATTTATGTATAAACAAATGGCAAAATATTAGTAAATGCATACAATAATTTTTTTAAAACATTTCGATAACTTCAGACACATCAGTTTATGGGGGGCTTAGTAGAATAAATGTAGAGAATAGTACATATACATATGTATATATTTATTTTATTTTAGACAAAAGTTGGCTGTAACAACGCATTGGAATGCAGAAATTGTTACAAATGTTTATCATTTTATGATCACATAGCAAAAATAATAATAATAATAGCGATATTTATAGTTTAGTTTACACTCAGAACGTACACATACAGCAATATCAATTGATCCAAGTTCCTTCTTCCATTTACGTATGTCTTATGGAGATTCCGTATTATAGTCTTTAAACATATGTAGGTAATGTTTTCACTTTCTAAATGACTTGATTTCGTATAGTTTTGCTTCATTTTCACTAACTACAACTTACAAAATATGCACGGGCATATATATCCATATATACATACATATATATATATATATCGAAAATATATAAATCTAAAATCGTTTATATGTATTTACAATTTGTTGCGCTAATTCGAGATTGAAATTAAAAGCGTTGCACTGCGTTTCGATTCGCATAGTCAGATTCTCTCAGTTCCCTTGGTCCGTCACGTCTCTAGGCAGCTCTCTCCTTTTTCAATCGTGCTCGATCAACCAACGCTGCGTCTCACTGTTACTGTCACAAGGCGCCACTTGGACGTCGTCCATGCCCTTTTGTCCTCGTATGTCAATACACATCCCGGTTCTTGTATGTATGAGCTGCTGGTCGCTGTACCGCCACTGCTCGTTGTACTCTTCGTTCTCCAAACAGGGTACCATTACCACCCTGAAGGGTGGAGAGTCGCTGTGCTGGACAGTCGCACAGCTGAGCTCGTTGCGAAGGACGTAGTTCTTGGTAAGGGAGAAGAGTTGAGACTTTTGCAGCGACTTGCCACAAGCATACAGCCCCAGATTGTAGGGCTTCTCGTTGTTCTGCAGTAGATCGTCAAAGCACAATACCCCGTGTGCGGCTTTAATTTTTCCCCAGGCAATCACATTTTTTGTTGGCACAAACTTTTCCGGATAGATGTTCTCCAGGTACCAGGAAAAGCTTTTGCAGCGTAGTTTCTTTCGCAGCATTACTCGGTGCGTTACGTCACCAATGTCCGCATGAAACTTCAAATCGGGACGATTCAGGAAGAATATATTTATGTACTCGTCCATCCAGACCAGGGCCATCCGTGCTGTATTTATTCCGTGGGTATCCCGATCGTTGGGGAATCTTTGGGGAAACATAAATACGTTTAAGTGTGGACAGAAATAAATACATCAATAAGACTCCTATTTACTTGTATGGGTGGAAATCGCGAAAGACATGGCCGACTCTCGAGCAAGGTATGGTTTCAATTGTGCCGCCACATTGCCAAATCCTAAAGGACATTTCCAAATTTTCGCCGCCCCATCCGTCCATCTAAAGTTTGAATTGGTTTCAGTATTGGTTTTATTTACTGTCTTAATTTTTCTGCCTACCTGTTCGTCGTAGCTGCCGACTTCCCAGAAATAGCGGCGATCGATGGCAAACAGGCCTCCAGCCATTGTGGGACTGTAGGCGGGACATATCTCACGCTCTTCCTTACATTCCCGCTTTTGTCGCTGCTTCTCGCGCTCAGGTACGTTCACCCAATCGAAGTGTCCGGACCACTGAAAGCCGCCCACTTGGAAGGATTTGTAGCCATTGGTGCTGTACTGAAAGTCGCTGGCATCGATTACATCGATAATGGGCACCAGGACGCTCGTTCGGGACTCTTTGATGCGATGGAGGAGAGGCTCACACCAACCGATATTACCTTCGCAGTGGGCATCGAGAAAGATGAGGACATCGCCGGTGGCGATGCGTGCGCCGGCCAGACGAGCACGTATTAGACCCAATCTGTAAAGAAGGTAATGCGAACAAAAATATTAGCGCTTTCTTTACCAAACCAATCGCAAAAGTTCACATTCAAATTATATTTGTTTTGTGAACACTAAACAGAATGTAGAAAACAAAAAAATATAAATAAAAAAAATTATTGGGTCAGCGCCAACCTTCGAAAAGTTTGTAAGCCAACAAAACGCGCCGAGCGAACGCTGCATAAAGAAATTGAACAAAAATAAGACGACTTGACCAACAGGTTTTCAGGTTTTTCGGTTTCTTTTGGAATTAAAAACGTTTTTCAGTTCTTATTTTATGCTGTAAAGAAGACGCTCACGCCGAGTCGAGCCATCATCATCTAAGCCAAAAACGAGTTATTCAAATGAAGGCAAGCGAGTGTTAATTTCACAAACTTTATGTGCATTCGATTGGCTCAACTAAAACAATCTCCCCGAAGCTACAAATATATACATACTTGTATTTGTATGTTCCTTTCATTGGAAGTAAAAGTCGACAGTAGTCCCGTTTCACTTACCGGTTCTTCAGTCGCAGCACCGTTACCTTGCCCTTGGGCAGGCGAGTCCTGATATAGTAGTCGAGCTTGCCGCCAAGTTCGGGATTCGTGCTGCCATCGTCCACTAGAATGATTTCCTGGAGCACTCCTCCATTGCAGGTGTTCAGGGTGCTGTGCACTGTCCGCACTAGCACGGAGTAGGGTTCATTGTAAAAAATTATCACAACACTGGCACTGGGCAACGTGTTAGAGTCGAATTTCTGTTTCAGGCACAAGGGATTCCGATGGTCGCCAACTGTGCGATTATAGGACAATTGTTCGCTCAGCTCCTCATTGAGGGCGATTTTCTTGTAGATTTTATCGCCCCGCGCCTTGGCGGTGCCTGTCAACGTTACAGCCACACCATTGTCTCCGAGACCAGGCTGCTGTTTCTTTAGATCGAGCTCAATGCTCAGATCGTATGGTGATTTTGTGGCGGGTGGTATTGGCAGAATTTCGTTATCGATGTCCGCTTCCTGGTGAGGGACAGGAACTTGTGGGCGGTGTCTAAAGGCGGCGGCGACTGGTCTGCCACTGACTAGATCCACGTCCACTTGGTTGACTACCTTGCTGTATAAAATGAAGCAGAGGGCCACCAGCACAAATACGATTATTTTGCCGTAAAAGGAACGAAACCGAGGCAGCATTGTGGTTGTCTGAGTGCGATTGTTGCAAGAGGTAGCTCGCTGTTTGGCGACAACGTTCAACGATTCAGTTACAACGTGGCCGTGGCTGTGACTTAAGACGTTCGGTTTCTATAGTTAGATTTGTCACGGAGCTCTCGGCATAGTATAAGCAAGCATCAAATATGCTTGTCAGTGAATAATTTCCAGTTTCTTTTCAGTCAGAAACGTGCCCTCAGACTTTGCGACAGTGACGCACGAAGCTGCCGCTTTCTGATATGGCTTAAACTAGACTAAACGTAAAAGTTTATTCTACAATCTGTGGGGCTGTTGACGGATCAGCCCCGCACCGCCCATTGCATACACAAACACACACACACGTATATCTTAACTGTTGCTTCAGCTGTATGGTTCGTTATTTTTTTTCTTCGTCAGGCGATTGCACTCTTGATCGCATTGTTGCTATCACATATGCGCAATTATTTGTTTATCCGCTGGGCAGTTGTTGCCAAAATAATGCGCGTTTTTGCCAAATTGTTTTCGCCTTTTTCATTCGGAGGAAACTTGAACCACAGTGCACCTTCTGTAAGTTAAACACCCCCTCACACACATTAGCACACTGACCATTGCCACTTGTTTGAAAAGTACCTGAGTTGGTCAGCTGGCAGCTGCTGCAAGCCGCATCTGGCAGCACTCTTGTTTTCATCAGTCTGGCAGTATGCATACAAACTTAGTGCGGGAAAACAATACAACATTTATACGGTCCCCTTTTTTTTCTGCTGATATTTTAAATGCGCGCCTAAATGCAGGCTATAAAAAATAAATAATTTGGTTATCTTAAATGTCGAAGCTGTAGCAACAGATTTAATTATTTACTAGCAGCAGAGGGTAAGCTAATCTTTGAATCAATATCGACGAAATAAATAGTAAAGAAATTTATTATTGATATTTCGCCAGAATTGTAAGCTCTTGAAAAACATTTGGTATCATCTATAAGGTAATCCTTACTTATTGCCAAAGCTTCGGTCCGACACGCAGATAATTGGCTTACCGACTCTAAGTATGCCTAGCGTCTGCAAAAAAAATGGCATGTTTGCTTTGGAATCGCATTAAGCTTGGTAATATTCTGTAAACACATGTGTTGGTAATTATTTATTATTCATATTAATATTCATCTACCATATCGTTTGTTTACATAAGACACAAATAATTGGCACACAAGATTGTGTCATTTTTGAAATGGGGGTTTATTCTTTTAAAATAAACTTCGAAGATTTTTTCTCAAAATTTAACAATATATATGTTTTGCATAAGTTTATAGCTTTATGCTTCACTGTACTTTGAAATGTGTTAATGTTGCAGTTAAACAATATTCGTAAAAATGATTGCATCAGTTATAGGATAAATAGTCTGCACATTCGAAAACCTGACGTTTTTCATAGTTGACGGAAATTCAAAGTCGTGAGCTGGCCAAGCTTCCTCACTTGTGTTATAGAGAGGGGGTCGATTTATGAAATGGAATGGGAGTACTTTACTGGCAGTGGCTTTGACTCACTACCTTAAAACTGTCACAGTTGGCACTCTTGTTGGCACTTAATGCACAAATGGCATGTTCGAAGAAACCGAAATGAAACAAAATGGACTTCCTATAAAATGTTGTGAACTGTTGTTTCTCTTGATTTGCTTGTTGATGGACACGCAATAACATTTCTTTCGTTTCTTCGGTTGGCTGCTCATAACGATGTCAAGCGCAAGTCGAAATTGTTGGTGATTTTCCTAATTTGGTTTTAATTCTATTAGATCTAATTTAAGGTCTGTGCTCCAACTCTCTTCCATTGACATGCCATGTGACTGGCTTGTGGTCACTTTCATTTTCTTCGCAGGTGGACAGTTGTATTGGCGTGGCCCGCTGAGAGGCTAGTTGCAGTGATTAATTACTCTAATTAAACTATTCAAATGCGAATTGTGGATGTTAATTAATATGTTACGAGTACGCTATACGTGGAAGGGCCGCTGCGGGTGCCGTTGCAACAAAATGGTTAGCACAGAGGAGAGTTCAAAGTGTTCCAACGATGGTAATTGGAGTCGGCACTGGAGCGGCTGCCACCGTTAGCGGCATCGACTCGTCACTGTGGGAAGCACTGTGGCCATTACGTGTGAAATGGTGTAAGGTGCAACGGTTTGCTGCTCTTTGCATGGCTCGTCGCTAACAGTCTTTAACGGCTTAAAGCGACAACAACTAGGAAGGAAATAAATTATGTTGTTAGTCGCACAATTTGGGAAGTTGGTTGTGTGTGTTTTTCTTTTTTTTCTTATTTGTTTTTTATCCCAAGCGACATGTGGCTCTTCTTTGAATTCCACATTTTCAGTTTTATTTCTGTGTGTTTTGCAAAAAAGCAACAGCATTTGAAATTCCATGAATTTCATGAGGCAACGCGACCTTAATGTAAAATGCATCAAAACTGGCATTGAAATTGATTAAGTTTCGGCCTTTATTAGTTTCAACAAAAAAGTTAACACCTTTCAAATTGGAATTATTAAAACAAATACCCAAAATGCAGTTTTATTTGATCACTTTTTTGTGAAATTTAATGATTTGTAAACGACGAGAGGTCGAATTAGTAAAACTTTATGAGCTGCGACCAACTGAAAAACTGGCTACCGTCTCAGCATATCTTAACGGTTCGCTTTAAAGTGTAAATTTTTAACTAAAACTGCCAAATAAAAATGTTGAACATTTGTTGGTGCTCAGTTAACAATTAAAGACTCACGATTGCAAATTAAAGCCAGCCCTAGTCGGCTTCATTGATTAATTAGAAGTGAAAACGAAAGCGCTTTAATACGAAGCAACCTTGCCAAAGATTTAACAAAAACAATTTTTAGCCCATTACGGCCAGCAGCCACCAGGCCATAGATATAGATGGATATAGACGTTAAACTCATCCATAATGGCAGAAGCCACAAAACCATTTCATCCAAATGACCCTGAGCTGTTCGTCTGGGCCGTCTAAGCTGGGCTGTATGGGCTGTCTGGGCCGTTCACACAAGTCAAGTGGCGCACATCGACAGACGAAGATGCCCGAAATTTACAAAACTTACCAATAGATAATCATCATCCATCAACGGACGATAATAATAGAAGTTGTATAGTGATCGCAATTGAAAAATTGTTGCCACAGTTTTCATTGGTTACAGCTTATGTTTCGTCTCCGTTTCTGTTTCTGTATCTCTGCAATGAAAACGAAAGCGTTTCTCAAAGCCCGACGACTAACTTGTCCCGCCAGTTAAGCAATTGTAATGATGACGCGCAATTATTGACCAGGTTTTTTTTTGTTTGTTGGTTTTTAATGGTGCGGGAGATGGCGGCACAGCTCAATACAAATTATGGATCCCATGACGGAATGAACCAATTTGACAATAGCTGAAATGTATGAAGGCCTTACAGATAAGGTGTGCCGATGATCTGCTTTGCTTTCGCAAACACTATAAATATTCGTGGGAGTAGAATTATGTGCTCCGCTTAAGCGCGTTACAAAACAATCAAATTGGCAATATTGCATTTATTTTTTTTTTTTTATTATTTTTGCCTTCTAAATCAGCTTTTAATTTGTGCATTACTGTTTTACTTTGTGAATTTTTATCTATTAGACTATTATTGTGCTCAGTTTTTTGGTTGTGCATTTAACAGGTATTTATTTAATACTTTTATTGTTTCGGCGTCAGTGCACTGCACTTTGTTTTTGCAATTATTTTGCATTTTGCTTTTAAGCAGCTATCTTTGCTTGCAAAAAGTTTGTGTGTGTGTTCGCGGTAGCCCTCTCTTTGTGCGTCTTCGCTCCCACTCAGCCTTGTTGTTGTTGCTTGTTTGCTGCAGTACCTAAAAGCTTTATCTCAGTGCCGCTTAGTTTTTTTTCTCTGTTTGTGCTTATACCGTTTTTCTTACGCTTTGCGCTAACTCACATATTGAAATCATTTACACTCGTATTTATTCCGCCCATAATGTCGTGCTGCAACAAGTCTTGCACTTTTAAAGATGCAATTGATTCCGATCAACTTCGGTTTGTTAGCTGTTGGTTGTGTGAGAATTTTATGCATATTAAATGTGCTGGATTAAATGGTCGTGACCTCGATAGAATCTACTCACCTAAAAAAGGCTGTGGTGGTTTGAAGTGGTCATGCCCTGTATGCATTGGCACACAATTTAATTTCTCACGTATGTATAATAACGTGAGAGATAAATTTCTTAAATTGCAAAAAATAACTAAGCAACTCTCAACTGAGTTTGACTCTGGTGAAGAGTTGCTTAGTCAATATTGGTTTGTGTCTCCGCCCAAGCGTAGGTTAGAGCCTCAATTTTTAGAGGTACCGCCTTGCTCGGCCCCGTCAACCTCATCACGCCCATGTTCACCAGGGCATCTCGATTTATCGCCGGTAATCTCGTTGTCTGCTTCCCCTGGAAATTTGTTTGAAACTTCCCCTATGCCTTCTCCTGCTGAAGTCGCAGTAGCCCCATTAATGGAACCTCCTGCAGTAAGCAAGTCAGCAGTTGCCTCGAAAGCTTCTAAAAAATCTTCTAAAAAAGCTTGCACTGCCAAATCCCCTGCACTATCCCCTGTAGTTTCATCAGTTACTGCTGAAAGTGCGTCAATTCCAGCTCTTCCTCAGCCTCCGTCTCTTACTGTGATAGCTCCCCGAAAACAAGTTTTTGTATCTAGATTATCTTCTGATACCACTTGTGAATCCTTAGCAGCCTATATTGCTAGTAAATCGACAGCTAGTGTGTCTATTTCGAAGTTTAGTTTTGCTGAGCCTCGTGAAATAGCCTCGTTTAAAATAAGTGTTCCGCCGGAAGCTTTTACAATTATATGTGATCCAAAATTTTGGCCTCCACATATGATTGTTCATGAGTTCAGGCAGAAAAAAACGAGTTTCGTCACTGCCTGTTGATTTACAGTCCAATCTTTCTTCGAAACCAACGTCAAGTTTGGCTTCAAAAAACTAGGCTCGCGATCCTTTTCGCTTAATATTCTGTATCAGAATGTTAGGGGACTTTTGTCCAAGCTTGGCAATTTATTTTTGAGCAGTTTTTCTTTCGATTCGAATATTATTGCGTTTTCAGAAACGTGGTTAAACCCCACGATTTTTGATAACGAAATTTTATCAGATGACTTTTGTATCTTTCGTCGTGATCGTCCGAGTCGTCGAGGTGGAGGCGTACTGATTGCAGTCAAATCCAACCTTCGGTCGGAAATCATTGATGTAGATGTGCCAAATGATGTTGAATTTGTTGCTGTTAAAGTAACTTTTCCGTCTTTTGTTCTATACATCACTTGCTCGTACATACCTCCCTCTTCTGATGTTCAGGTTTATATGCAACATATAACTTGTATTAAAGAAATTTTTACTCATCTTCGTGACAGCGACGCGTTTGTTGTGGTAGGTGATTTTAATTTGCCCAACATAGAATGGTCATACCTCAATGAATCAAATTATTTGGTGCCCTCTGCAGACCATGAATTTTTGGATTGCCTGTTGGACCTTTCTTTGTTTCAAATTAATCATATACCTAATCACCTTA